TACTCGTATCCACGTCCTCTGTCTGGGCAGCGAAAACTTTGCTGATATGTGACTCGGTCGAAGTGACTTTTTTTGCCCCCCCCCCCTGTATATATGCGCAAAACTATTTATGATACATTACTGACCGAATTCTCATAGGGAATCTCTCTGAAAATGTTTTGTCGGTGTGGGCAAAAACATTCTGGACAGAAGGTGTCCGGACCCCATAATACGAGACGAAGAACTCTCACATTGCACAGTGACTCCCTCGACTTAATTAAAACCACCCTGCACAAACTGCCCCTGAATCGTCAGAGGAAACTGATATCATTTTGTTTTTCTCTTATTTTTCTTCACAAATTTTCTCACTGAACTATGCTCTTGATGTTGTTTCCGCCATAGTCTTTCGTTAATCTGTTGTATCGTGGAAGCGATGTCCCGAAATACCTTTTAGCTCACCTGCGCTCTACATGTTAGGTTCTCCTTATCGACCCAGAGAATCTTATCCATGAGAGCCATATCCAATGAGATGACAGCTCGTTGCTCTGTGACAGGACATTCAAGAGCACTTGATACGGAAGTACCGCCTCCGATTGGAATGATTGCACAGTTGGTACTCATTGCTAGATCGATAACCTGAACAAATCAATAATCGGTTATGATGTCACTGCTGGGGCAGATATGAAGTTGGCCGCTAATCTAGTCAAATCGATAATCGATTATTATGCGTTGTCACCCGTGGTGGTTACTTTTGGGAGTGTTTAGCAATCTACGCGGATCGATAATCGATTGGATCGTAGTGGCACTTCTGTGGTGGCTTCTTTTGAAAGCAGCTAGCAATCTACACGGAACAATAATCGAGCAATTTACGGGGATCGATAATCGATTAGGGTGTGATGTCACTTCTGGGGTGGTTATATTTGAATGGCTAATAGTCCAGGCTGATAAATAATCGATAGGGCCGTGATGTTGCCGCTGGTTGGCTACTTTTGCAATAATAAAGAATATGATGAACCGTCTTCAAAAAAGGAAAAAAATATGGTCCAAATCCAACGGAAGCCCACGTTAGGCAGATCTAGCTCTATTTAGCCGAACAAAACACGCGTAGTGGTGCTAGACTAGGTCGGGTGGGTAGGGTACATTCCATGTCACGGAGATCGAGAGGGCGTTGCTGCATGCTTTATTTGAACACGAGGGATGATTTTCTCGTGGAACGTCTCCATTTTCTGATAAGGGTCACGCTCTCGTGTGTTCGACAAATGCATTATTACAATTGTCCCAAAAAAACTAACCGCTGCGCTGGAATGACGCACGCAGCCACTCCCTCCCTAGCTCCAGGATATGTGGTGTAAGTGGACGAGTAGCAACGATGTCAGGCACAAAGGGATATGGGAAGGCTATCCAAGGAACCTGGCTTTCAACAGGGGCTGTAACATCAAGTGTTTCGAGGATTTAGTCAAGAGAAGTCCTGCCCCTTCACCCCCCCCCCTTCCCAGAAAGGAGAGTTGAGACATGTGGCTCAATCGATTTATTGATCAACAAGACAGTAAACTTACTTTCATCACATCCTGTTCACTTCGTGGCCATACGACGAGATCCGGTAAACGTGGGAATTTTCCATGTCGCAAGTTGAGGATATCGTGTACCTGTGAAATGCTCATCGATTTATTGATCTTATTTATTCGGTTGCTTTTTGCAAAGTGGAATTGTGTCCCTTGAAGTTGTTGGTGGACTAATCTGGGCATCGGGTGATATATCATCAAACTGCACCTCTTATCAGCTGGTGAAACGTGACAGCTTATCATTAGTCACGTCCAGAGGGGGGGGGGAGTGAAGCCTGTGAGTGGCCAAACTCAGGAGGGTGCATCACTGTTGGGGACTTGTCAGTTCGGAAACGCGGGGCCCGCTGAGCACTGGGTGAAAATTTTCTTTTCTTTTGCGTAGTACTACATGGAGGTTGTGCCTTCAGGGTATTCCAAATGACTTCACCCAGAAATGCCCAGGTCTGCTTCCCCACCCCACCTCAACGACATCGGTGGAGTCGTGTCATCGAGGTGACTGGTTGTGATTACGATAGTCAGCAGTTTTCCCAGAGTGTCACTTACCGTATGACCATGCCCTCGGACCAGCCTCATCCGTGGCGCGTTTGAGAAGGAAATGTTGGCACGGACGAGTTCGTCGTAAATCTCGTCGTTTTCTACTGGAGGTGGGATTTCGATGTCATCGATTCGTTGACTTGGTGTCGCATAACCAATGTCTACCCCCATATACTGTTCGAACCACGGGCGGAAATGAGGCATTTTGTGACCACTTGCTTCGTACCTGCAAGTCGTGCACCAATCAAAAATAGTGGTCAAGTGATATCTAATGATACCAAGATGTAATTCAAACTCACTTGTCACCCATCATAACGACGTCACCTTCCTGATCCACTTTGAAAAATGAGTCGACATAACCCCAACCGTTCCATTTCAGTATTTTGTCGCTGAAATAAAACGCAATAATTCGATTCTAAAAGAAAATTCGGCACAGTTTGGCCAGGTGGGGGCACCCGATGAGACTTAGCGAAAGCTAACTAGGCCCCTTTGTAAATACCAGCATATGCCTGTAACCAATGTGGCTCACTTGCCCCATTTCGCAACATCAGAAGGGCACGTTGCGCGTGAAATTCCATCAGTTGGTAATATGAAATAACCCTCCTTGTCTCCAGCCCCGCATAAATAACCCTCGTTAACCCCGCTTTCTTTCCAATGGTTGTTATGATATTTAGTCATCCCATAAAGGATGGATAAGATGGGCGTGACTTCGCTGATAATAACAGTCACGTCCAGTGTTTACGGGAGACGGGCAAGAGAATCGTAAGCTGCCGCTTCGTCACGCGCGGCAGGCGCGACGTTTTCTTACAATTAGAGGCAGCTGGCACGATAAATCCTTGAAGACGAGTAGGATTAATATGCCTGGCAGGACGGAATTCCGCGCCCCTAAGAAGGCGCTGCGCAGCGCCCTTTCCAAGGAAGGTACCCTTATAAGGGCCCTATCAAGCTACAACATACCGACCCGCCCGCCCACAAATGGACGACCGTTCCTGACGCTCGTATTGATTCATTTGCTAAGCAAATTATGAAGCAAAGGGACTGGTAATGCAGCCGTATCTTCGGTAGCGGTGATTGGCAAGATGCCTACGGGAAACTCGTCCGAAATCGATTTTCAAGTCACTGAGAACGAAGGCTTTTTCTTCGCAGGATTTTGACCGTTTCACTCCGTTCTTTCGCCATTTTCCCACTATATAGCGCCCTGCTAGCATTTTAGGCCGAGTACCAAATTATCGTGCCAACTGCCTTTAATTTGGACTACCCTTTCGATTGGAGCATCAGATTTCATGTAGACAAGGGCATAGTAAACAGTTGTCTATTTTTGGTCATACATGGTCTGTTTTCGACAATACCACCTAAAATCGTCGTCATTAGCGGGCGCGACGTCGCACGCGATGTCCACTGGCGCGGCGAATTACGATTCTTTTGCCACATACCCGCAAAGTCTCCAGCAGCAATCAATCTCTTCCGAGATGCGCCGCGCACTTCACTTCCATGCAGAACGCAATGGTATTTTAGCTTTGCAATAACATGAGGCTAGCCGATGTACAATAGTGAAAGTAGAAAAAATAAAGAGAAAGAAAAAAGGGTAAAAAAAAAGTGGGTGGTTCGCTTAGCCTCTTACTCAGACGGACCACTGTTTATGTCAACTCTTTTTGGTTCAGTGAGGTCCCTTTATACTCCCAAACATCGCTGGTACGAATAAGCCCACTTATCGTTGGAGGAGATGGATGTGTGGGCTGGCCTGGGTGTGAGTCAGTCCAGGAGGACTTGGCCAATGACCGTGGATGTGGGAACTATCGCCCTCTCACCCCCTTGTCATTACACCACTTTCTCCTCTGAAATTAGTTAGAAGTGATCTACATGATCCAAAACTTGCTAAATATTTTTTGTTTTCTTATATATCTCACAACGCCTTTGTCCTATAATAGCTTACACACAGGGGTCCTGTAGGAGCCTTAGTGCTCCCGACGAACTGAAGGCGCTACCAGGGCAGTTTCTGCTGGATACAATTTTCGGGAGGTATGACACTCTCTCTAGTTTCCTTCCTCGCGTGCGACCCCTTACCCATCCTACCTACCATGTTCCCGAATTTCCCAGCATCCTAGCACTTTCTCCAATTTCTCGAGAATTTTTCACATTTCCTCGAATACCTGCCGTCAAGCCGGGGGAGGGAGGGGTGGGGTAGGGGGAGACACGTCATCATTCAACTACCAAACTACCAAAATGAGTTACGATATGAACTCTGAAGTAGTAGTCGTATAGAAGCTCCGCGGCGTCTGCAAGAAAGGGAGAAAGGGGTATC